GGGTTGGGAGAGAATCATTTTCGGAGGTAAAAGTTTGAAATCAAACTAATGGAATGTCAAAGGAACTTTAATTTTGTTTGTGAATTTGCCATTTTTTGTGGAAATGGGAACAAATTTATTTGTGTTATACAAGAATTTTACCGTCAAATTGTATTGGACTGTTTAGGAAGCTGAACAATCGCGAATTGAATTTATTTCTTTGTATTTTTGCATTTACAACTCGATTGGGACTTGAAATCAATTCTTTGTAATATTTATGTACACTCAGATACAATTGATCAGTTCATTGTAGTTTATAATAATTTTTAATTGCATAAAAATTTATAAATAACATGATAAATAGACAAGTGAACAGGCCTATTTTGGTTAGTTTTCGTTTTTATGTGTTTTTTGAAGGGAAATTTGGCTATAAACCCCCTTTACCTTCCTTTCGTTGTTAGAAGGACTAAGAAAAAAATTATACTTTCTAAACCCCCTCATAATTATAAAATCTTGCATAAAGGACAATTTATTATTTAAATATTTTATCAGACTATTATATTCTTGATTTTTATGCAAAAACATTTTTTGAAATTTAAATATTTTTGGTGCTTCCTAAGAATATCTTCATTTTAGAAAATTTTTCTTGAAAACAGATTTCGAAAAACAATTGGCCAAACAAGGTTTATTTTATTTTATTTTATTTTATTTTCCAGAAAATGAAAATGATATTAAACAAGCCCGATTTTCCAGTCAAATAAAGCATCAAGCAAAGACCTCTTTATCCATTGGTGCTAAGTAAGTTAAATTATTTGATATGAGATACACAGCAAAACCCCTAGTTGTGAAACATAAAACCCCAGAAACAAAGAATCTGCATTAAATAATTACAACCAACCAAACACACCCCCAACTTTTTGGAAGGAAAACCCTGAACCAAACAAATGTACATGACAAGAGTTTTTTGCTTTTGATGCAGACAACATTTGTCTGTGTTCTCTGCTTGAAGCCTTACTTTAACTCCCCAACAACTCCTTCAATTTATGTCTACCTCACGATGTGGTGTTTTATGTCGTATTACCTCCGACTATCCACCTGGAAATACCTATATCACACATGAATGTTATGCAGTAGTAGTAATATTTGAGTGATAATGACTATGAGCATATGACTTGACACACATTATTGAACTTGTTTTGGAACAAATTTGAAAATACACAGTATATAATTATTGCTACTAAGATTGAACTATATGCATAAAAGAGATGTATGAGCTCAACACCTAGTCCAATTTGATGACCTGATAAGAGCAATGCAGTTTGCAGGGTTACCTGCAGAGAGTGAGGAATTAGATTCCCCATTCTTCATTCAGATGGCCTGGATATAAATCCAGAAGCATTTTCCACGCCACACATATTGCCATCCTCAACAGAAAATGAAAACCTAACAACAATAGTGCTAAAGACTATATATAGACTTAAAAAAACAAAAAGAAAAAAAAACTTAAGATAGAATTTTGGTGTTTTTGGTAATACAAGATCGTCGTTCAATTCTTTCCAAGTAATTGGATCCTTTTCCTTGTTCAAGAATCTACGCCCTTCTTCCACTCCAAGTTTTGAGTAACTACAACCAATCATCTTTTCATGTTCCAAATGGCCAACAAATGAGCTAACAAGAATGTAATTGAGGAAAGATTACTTGGGAAGAACAATGGAGATGAGTAGCTACAAACACGAAGGAAAAACCACAAAAGCAACTGTGTGGAGGGGCGAGAAATTTCCATTAAATAATGTTTGTGAGAAAGTAGCTTCACAGTTGACAAATTGACGAATCCACCCAATGACAATTTGACATACTCACCATGGGAAAATTCTCAAAATTTGACTTCAATACTCAAAAGGAAAAAAAGAAGGAATTTGGGGATAATTAGCATGCCTCATGAAGCCAAAGGGCATATGCCCATGCCCTCGACACCGACATGAGTCCATAACAATGACAAAAGCCTCCAGATCTTGATGAATTTGTATTGCTGTCACTTTTAAACAGAGCTTGAAGGATTCTCTCAAAATCAGCAACTCATATAACTAGAGTCCTAGCCATTCTCAATTTTCCAAAACAAGAGTATCCATTAGAAATTTCAGTGAGTATGCAAGCAATTATTATTGCTTCTTCTATTGATTATTGATTTCTGAAACTTCAGTTCTTCATTCTTGAGCAGAATAATTAGGTGATTCCTTGTGTCAATTACTTTCTCCCTTATGCCTGTTCTATCATTATCTTCTTCCAAGAACCTGCAGTGCCAGCTTGCAAATACAAGAAAATGGCTTCTTCCTTTCTTTCAAACAAATATTAGCATAATCTTTTGGCACTATAGACTATTTTACCCCCTCATTATAGGGTCAGAGACTAGAGTGCAGCTTACATTAAATAAAGAAGAGTCTGTTTTTAAGATGGTATTGACCCATGTGAACATGCGACAATCTGGTAAAGCGGCCTTGTCTCCTAAGACATATGGCTAGAATAACTTTCAGCTTTGGAGAGAGAGAGAGAGAGCAATGATAAACAAAAATTGTTAACAAACTCGGATCAAGTTAACATTTTTAATGTTAGTACGAGAGATATCACTAAGGTTCTTCCTTTAATCCAACTTGACAAAGCCAACGTTACAAAAGAAATAATAAGACAAACAAAATTATCAAAGCCTTAAGTCCCAACTATTTGGGGTCAACTATGTGAATCATTTCTACTGACAACACATTAGCTTTTGCCTTTATTGTTTCCAGTCCAACCATTAGGCCATTTAGGCCATCGCCTAAGGCCTCACTTTCTTGCAATAGTAAAGCCTCATAAAAATCTCCTTGGTCCAAATGCTCTCGATAGTAGCAAAGTTTTTAAAGGAGAATGCTTAATGTGAGGCGTAAGCCTTAAGACGTTGAGGCATGAGCATTTCAAATTCTAAAATTTTATATTTAGTAAATAATTTAAATATTTTAAAACAACAAATAAATACCTCAAAATTATTTTTTATGTTTAAATCATCTACTAGACTAAGGGGTTGTTTGGGTTTGTTTGGACGGATTGGATAAGGGGGGGATTGTAATTCATCGGACTGTTAGTCCTTGGATATATTGTCCACGGACTATTTGGTTCGATTGGATTTGTATCCTACATTTGTTTAGTCATGGGATTAGATGTCTGAATTGGACTATTTTTAGTAAATCCAATGTTTGGCTGAACGGACTGAATAAGGATAAATGTTCAAAAGACTATTTTACCTTTATAATTTATAATTTTTATTTAATACATAATTTTAAATTTGTAATCTATAATTTATAATTTAACAACACTAAAAAATTTTAATTTATAAAGCCATAATTTTAAATTTATTATTTTCAATTAAATTAAATTTATAATTTATATTTTTTATTTAATATATAATTTTAAATTAACAACACTGAAAAAATAATTTTATTTAATATATAAATTTAATTTTTTTAACAACACTAAAAATATTATAAGGCCATAATTTTTAATTTATTATTTTTATTTAAATTTAATTTATAATTTATATTTTTTATTTAATATATAATTTTAAATTAACAACACTGAAAAAATAATTTTATTTAATATATAAATTTAATTTTTTTAACAACACTAAAAATATTATAAGGCCATAATTTTTAATTTATTATTTTTAATTAAATTAAATTTATAGTTTATAATTTTTATTTTTTATTTAATATATAATATTAAATTGACACCACTAAAAAAATAATTTTTAAATGTTCAAAAGACTATTCTACCCTTCTTGAATTGTTTATTAAGTAATAGCATGAGGGTAAAATGGACATTTTACACATCAGTCCCATGGGATAACAATCCTATAGAAATAATCCCACCCCTCCCCCTAGGATACAATAATCCCTCATATAAGGAACTAATAGTCCGAAGGCACTATTAATCCGGAGTTAAAAAATTGAACCAAACAATAGACTATTAGTCCGGATGGACTAATAATCCAATCCCATGAAATAATCCCTCAAAACAAACACAATCTAAGTGTCCCACCCCGTCCCCATTTCCTCGATGTAAAATTACTATTATACCCCTGTATATATATATATGGAAAAAGAGTGAGGCCTCGAATGCGGCTCGAATTGGTTTTTTTTTTTTTTCTTTGAAACTGTGTTGGTTTGAATTTTTTTTTAATTTATTTGTTGGGTTGTGTTAGTTTGGTTGTTTTTATTTATTCATTTATTTGTTGGGTTGTTGTAATTTTTAATTTTTAATTTTTTTTTATGATGGTTATGTGTAGGGGTGGGTTTAGAATTTAGGATTTAAGATTTAGGGTTTTATTTTTTCCGAATCTTTTTTATTTGAAATAAAAATATAGTAAAGACTCGTATAAAACTATATGAAATTAATAAATTTTAGCCAACAGTCTAACTGATCAATCAATTTTATCACCCAATCAGTCTAATTCAACTGTTTTTTTTTTCTATTTGTTGGGCTATGTTGATTAGTTTATTTTATTTTATTTTATTTATTGGGCTGTGTTGGTTTGAATTTTTTTTTTATTAGGATTTAGATTTTAGGGTATAGATAAAAACCCTTCCCAAATAATATTAAAAAAAACAAAACCAAACCAACATTTATATAAACAAAATAAATAAATAAATAAATAGCAACTTTATAAATAAAAACCCTTCCAAAATAATAATAAAAAAAACAAAACCAAACCAACATTTATATAAAAAAATAAAATAAATAAATAAATAAAAAAACAACTTTTCGAAGCAAATTGGAGCCTCTCTTTCGAGTCCTTTAGCACGGTCGTATATATATATATATATATATATAAAGTTTATAAACCAAACCCTAAAACACACCCTCTCACCCCGCTTCTCATCTCTCTCTCTCTCTCTGGAGAATCGTAGCTCCTCTTCCCTCCCTTTCTCACCCGCTGCTCCACCACTGCTCCACCACCGCCTCTGCCATTCCACCACCGTCTCCGCCATTCGCCGGCGGGAGTCAATCGTAGCTCCTCTCCCCTACCTCTCTCACCGCTGATCCACCACCGCCTCTGACATTCCACCACCGCTTCCGCCTTTCGACGACCAAAGTCGAGCTCAAATCTGGTTGCGGCAGTCGGAGATCGCGGACGTCGTCCTCATCCTCATCCTCATCCTCATCCTCTTCGACCTCTGATTCGATCTCTCTCTGTGTGTGAGTGTGTGTGTTAGATTTCACTTTCTATAATCATATATATATAATCGTTTGTTTGTGTTAGATTTCACCTTGATTTTTTTTTTCCCTTCTTGTTAATCATATATACATAATCGTTTGTTTTTCTCTGTGTCATCATCATATTAATACATGTTGTTGTTGTTGTTGTTGTTGTTGTTGTTGTTGTTGTTGATGTTGATGATGTTGGGCCGGCCTTGGGGTGAGGCAACTAAGGCTGTCGCCTCGGGCCCCCAATTTTGAACCAAATTTAGGGCTCAATTTATTTATTTTTATATTGTCATATGGTGTTATTTTGATTCGTGTTCGATTGATATTTAATGTAAAAACTTTCACTTTTAGTTAAAAATAACTTAGCAAGTGTATCGAGAGATTAAATTTTTTCTCATAAGTTGAATTTTATAATATTTATTTCAACTAAATGAAATTATTCATCGAATGTTTGATTTTAATTCAATTGTATTTTTCTAATTAAAAAAATTGTGCCTTCTTCCTGTATATTTTTTATTAGATTGACTCTAAAATAGGTAACAAAAAAATATATATCTTAAATGAAAAAAAGATTTTAGCCTTAATTATTATTTTACATATTTTTTTATTCAGTTAGATGGAGTTAAATAAAAGATTACAAAATGTCATGGCATCCCTTAGTGAACATTCAAATATATAACTAATAATTCATGTTATTGAGTCGTGTCATACTTGGATTCATGTTGAAAAATAGAAACCTTAACTTGCTAATTTTATATATTGCTTGAGTTGTGTCGAAAATTTTCATCCTTATGCCTAATTAATTTTAGTTCTTATAACATTGGTAAGCAAAAAAATAAAGATTCGATTCAACTAATTAAAGTTTAACTATTATATATATATATATATATATATTTGTTATCTAAATTTTGTTAAATTGTAATGTAATAAAAAAAAAATTTATCTTTTTTTTTTTTTTTTTTTGATAAGTAAGTCATATTATAACCAAAAAAGATAGATATACAATAAAGTTCAATACACATCTTTCGTAGGGAGAACAAACATAAATAAAGAAATAAACTACTCCCTCAAAAGAAACAAACTAAGCCTATAGACGGCAAACACACCAAACACAACAAAGGATTCAAAATTTCCCTCTAGCACTCTTCAAGTACTGAAGTTTCGCTTTGAGTTTTCTTCTGTTATCCTCCTTTGTAGTCTCCTCATTAATGGGATCACTTGGAGATAGACCCCCTCTACTTTGTAGGCTCTTTGTTGGACACAACTCTTGATTTAATTCTCCATTTACCAACTCTCCCATATCACATAATTTAAGGACATCAAAAGCATTAGATGTTGATGGGGTGAAACGCTGCGTCTCTCCCTCTTTGTTTATCACTGTCGTTGAACCTTGCCCACCATCTCTCCTTTTTTTTCTTCACCACTTCCCATTTGGTTGGAACTTGTGTGTTAGTCTCCTTGACTCTCCACTCTTGTTTGGAAGATGGAGGGTTCAAGGTCTTTGGCTTCTGAGGACACAAATTAGTGGTATGACCAAAAGTCTTACAACCATCACACCTTTGAGGCTTCCATGGAACCTCAACTTGAATCTCATATGGGTCATCATAACCAAGATTTATTTTGAAAGACTTAGGGATCTCTATATTTGCTGGCACTTCAATGCATATTCTCGCAAAAGTAAGTCTGCTTCTCTTAAACGTAGGCTCATCCAAATAAAGAGGAGTTCCTATGATGCTAGCAATGTAACCCAAACCTTCTTCAGTCCAAAGCTCCAAAGGAACATTATACAATTTCACCCACAACGGCACACTCGAAAATTCACTTTGTTAGTTTTAGTCCAGGTTGTCATTTTTTAACAACAATCAATCTAGCCCCAACGTAATAGGGGCCATCTTCCAAAATTTTGTCTATAGCCTCTTCACGTTTTACTTTAAAAATAAAAAATCCATTATCAATAGAGACAACATCCTCAAGCAAATTTTCCCAAAGTTTCTCTGCCCAAGTTTTCACATAATGGAAAGAGAATCTTTTATAAATGAAGTATCCAACCAAGGCATTTTCCCAATGAGAAAAGCCTTTTTTTGAGATCTCTATAGGGACATTGTACATGCCATCTACTAGGTTCTCAATCTTATGGGCACCTATTTTATACTTCATTTTTGACACCTAGTTAATCTCTTCTTTAAGTAAAGAGCTCCAAGCTTGTAGAGGCTTACCTGATATAGCAGTTGTATCACCATCAAGACATTGATCCTTGCCAGATTGTGTGTCTTCCATATGTAGTTCAACGAAATCTTCATTACTACAAGCTCGCACATTTTCAACACTCTTCTGTTACTTGGTACCAGTTACTTCTCTCATTTTATCAGCACTGGGTGAGCCAAGTTTATTTAACATTATCATTTCATTTGCCACCAGTGGGGAAACAATGGCCAATTTTGGCCACTGCTCAAGATCAGTTAGCACTCTAGTTGGTGTGTTCCATGCATTAGGTATTTGGTGCTGCTTTGATGATTGCTCAGTTGAGGCTTGCATTTCCACATTCATTTGCAGCCGTGGTGTACCAAGATTTCCACACAAACATAGATCGACACAATCACACTCGATTAAGCTATCCTCCGATTCCACATCCCTTAATCCCCTTTTGTTTTCATGCGAGGGCCCTTGCTATGGTCCCACAAAATCTCCAGATATGAGAGATTTGGGGCTACTCGGATGCGTGTAGACCTGCAGGGGAGTACAGCAGGCATCTCATCGGTAGATATTTGAGCATCCACTTGATTATCAAACTCCTTCAAGGAGACCTTGGTTGATTTGCACTTAGCAGATTTACATTTTGATTTACTCTTGGCTAATTTGCTCTTAGCTAATTTGCTCTTCTTCATTGATAGTTTGTTGCCCTCTCTGTCTCTCTTTGTCCCTCTGTCTCTCTCTCTCTTTCTCCTTAATCATCTTGTGAGTTCTCAGTAACAGAAGTTCACTTAGGCATTTTGTCGAACAGGTTGAAGGCAAGACCAGTAAACACTCAGGTTTTGCTCCGGCTGCAAAACTTCGATGCAATCTGAAGGATGAGAGTCACAACTATGTGTCAAAGCTTTTGGATCAAAGTTGGGCTTCGAAATCAGACACCCTGGTCGCAAGGCCAGTACGAACTTCAAAGTCCAGATGTCCTGCGAATTCAATTCAAGAAACCAGATTGCGATTGCGAGAAGTTCTAGAAATTCCAAACCGATGGGCTCTATGATTTCGAAATCGCGATTGCGATTGAAACAGCAACTTTGAATCGCGGTCTTTTCTTTTTTTCTCTTTTCCTTTGTACAATCATGAAAACCCTCTTTTTTGTTTTATCCAAACAATTTTATTTTATTTTTTTCCGATGATATATGAAGGGCCCAATTTAAAAAATTCGCCTTAAGCCCCTAATAAGTCAGGCCTGGCCTTGTGTTGATGTGGATGAAAATGAATTTGTTATTGTTTTTTGTTGTTGATGTTGTTGTTGATGATATTTATTGTTATTCTCTCAGTCAAGTTTGTTCGTCTGCTCTATCAATGTTTGCTTCTCAAATCCTCCTGCAGTACCTTCCTATTCCAAAATCCCTAAAACATCCTTCAAATGCAAGCCAAAACTCCTTCCTAACAACCTTCAAACCCTCCTCAATGACCACCTTAAAGCTAAGGGCAATCCTTTACGAAAACTCTTTGTTTAAGCATCGTTTCACCAAATCCGAAGATGGGTCTTTGTTTAAGCACTGTTTCATCAAATCCGAAGATGGGTATTTGTGCTGTGAGGGTCTTAGGGTTGAGGATGTGATGAACAATGTCGAAAAGAGTCCTTTTATCTCTACAGTAAGCCCCAAATCACTAGAAACTTCCAAGCTTATAGGGATGCTTTGGAGGGTTTGGATTTGATCATTGGATATGCGATTAAAGCCAACAACAATCTTAAGATTTTGGAGCACTTGAGTAAGTTGGGATGTGGGGCTGTGTTGGTCAGTGGCAATGAGCTTCGCTTAGCTCTTCATGCTGGGTTCGATTCCACAAGGTGTATTAATTGACTCTATCCTGTTTTCTTGTAATGTGGGTTTTTAGTTTTAATATAGCAGCTTTTTTTTATCTATAGAACGTGTATGGGTATTTACCCAGTTCACACTTAATTAATGAAATTTGTTCTTAATACAATTTTGTCGTAGAATAAAAATGGGTAAATTACACTTTATAGGACTAGATAAGGATAAATGTTCAAAAGACTGTTTTACTCTTGTAAGTTATAATTTATATTTTTTTATTTAATATATAATTTTAAATTTGTAATCTATAATTTATAATTTAACAACACTAAAAATTTTAATTTATAAGGCCATAATTTTTAATTTATTGTTTTTAATTAAATTTAATTTATAATTTATAATTTATTATTTATATTTTTTATTTAATATATAATATTAAATTGACAACACTAAAAAAACAATTTATAAATGTTCAAAAGACTATTCTACCCTTTTCAAATTGTTTATTAAGTATAGCATGATGGTAAAATGGACATTTTACACATCAGTCCCATGAGATACCAATCTTATGGAAATAATCCCACCCTTCCCCCTAGGATACAATAATCTCTCATATAAGCGACTAATAGTCCGAAGAGACTATTAATCCGAAGCAAAAGAATTGAACCAAACAATAGACTATTAGTCCGAATGGACTAATAATTCAATCCCATGAAATAATCTCTCAAAACAAACACACTCTATAATAATATTAACCAAAGTCATAAGTGTGTGAACTGAGATATGATGTGCACAAAGATGAAAGAGTGGAAATAGAATTTCTCCATTTCAACCCTTTTATCTTTCAAGTTTTTTCCTAGTTCGCTCCTAAAATTAATTTCTGTTCAAATTAGATTGAAAATATTATAAAAACGGTCACATAACATAAAAAAATATATCACTATATTAGAAGTTTATATTAGAGATGTGCGTTATATATAATAAAATATTTTTATGTTACATAATTGTTGACGTGTCAATTTTTTGTCTGATTTTTAACAGAAATTAACTTTAGAAGTAAACTGGAAAAAACTTGAGAAGGGCAAAGTGAAGAAAAAAAAAACTTCAAAGGCTAAAACGATAAAGTAACCAAATATAAAGGGGATAAAGTGGAATTTACCCAATTTTATTTTATGACAAAATTGTATTAAGAACAAATTTCATTATTTAAGTGTGAATTGGGAAAATACCCAAGCACGTTCTATAGATCAAAGAAATTGCTATATTGAAACTAAAAACTCACATTACAAGAAAACAGAGTAGAGTCAATTAACACACCTTGTGGGATCAAACCCAACATGAAGAGCCAAACGAAACTCATTGCCACTAACCAACACAGTCCGACATCCTAACTTCCTCAAGTGCTCCAACATCTTAAGATTGTTGTTGGCTTTAATCGCATATCCAATGCTCGAATCCAAACTCTCCAAAGAATCTCTATAAGCTTGGAAGTTTCTAGTGATTTGGGGCTTACTGTAGAGATAAAAATGACACTTTTTCACATTGTTCATCACATCCTCAACCCTAAGACCCTCACAGCACAAATACCCATCTTCGGATTTGGTGAAACAGGGCTTAAACAAAGAGTTTTCATAAAGGATTGCCCTTACCTTTAAGGTGGTGCTTGAGAAGGGTTTGAAGGTTGTTGGGAAGGAGTTTTTGCTTGCATTTTAATGATGTTTTAGGGATTTTGGAATAGGAAGGTACTGTAGGAGGATTTGAGAAGCAAACATTGATGGAGCTGACGAATGAACTTGACTGAGATAATGGATTTGGTGAAATGGTGTTTAAACAAAGAGTTTTTGTAAAGAGGGAGGTGCTAAAAGCAGCACTCATAAGTGTGTGAACTGAGATAACCAAAGTCATAAGTGTGTGAACTGAGATAACCAAAGTCATAAGTGTGTAAACTAAGATATGATGTGCACAAAGATGAAGGAGTGTGTGGAAATAGAATTTCTCCACTTCAACCCTTTTATCTTTCAAGTTTTTCCCAGTTCGCTTCTAAAACTAATTTCTGTTCAAATTAGATAGAAAATATTATAATAACTGCCACATAACATAAAAAAATATATCACTATATTAGAAGTTTATATTAGAGATGTGCATTATATATAATAAAATATTTTTATGTTACATAATTGTTGATGTGTCAATTTTTTGTCTGATTTTTAACAGAAAATTAACTTTATAAGTAAACTGGAAAAAGCTTGAGAAGGGCAAAAGTGAAGAAAAAAAAACTTCAAAGGTTAAAATGATAAAGTAACCAAATATAAAGGGGATAAAGTGGATTTTACCCATTTTTATTCTATGACAAAATTGTATTTAGAACAAATTTCATTAATTAAGTGTGAACTGGGGAAATACCCAAACAACTGCTATATTGAAACTAAAAACTCACATTACAAGAAAACAGGGTAGAGTCAATTAACACACCGTGTGGGATCGAACCCAGCATGAAGAGCCAAGCGAAGCTCATTGCCACTAACCAGCCCAACCCCACATACCAATTTCCTGAAGTGCTCCAAAATCTTATGATTGTTGTTGGCTTTAATCGCATATCTAATGATCGAATCCAAACCCTCCAAGGCATCCCTATAAGCTTGGAAGTTTCTAGTGATTTGGGCTTACTGTAAAAATAAAAATGACTCTTTTCGGCATTGTTCATCACATTCTCAACCCTAAGACCCTCACAGCACAAATAACCATCTTCGGATTTGGTGAAACAGTGTTTAAACAAAGAGTTTTTGAAAAGGATTGCCCTTAGCTTTAAGGTGGTCCTTGAGGAGGGTTTGAAGGTTATTAGGAAGAAAGAGTTTTGGCTTGGGTTTGAATGATGTTTTAGAGATTTTGGAATAGGAAGGTACTGCAGGAGGATTTGACAAGCAACCATTTTTTTTTCTATTCAAGACAAGCAACCATTTCACTTTGTACATACCCATTTCACTCTATGTATATATTTAATGATGATATTTTTTTTATTACAATTTCATCTCTAACTATTATGGACATCACACACGCTATCCGAAAGTTGAATGTCACTCGAATTAAACATATTCGAAAGTTGAATGTCGAAAAATGAAAAAAATTTGGAATTCTACTGTCGAAATAAATGATAATTTTCAAAATAAATGATAATTTTGGATTGATGAATCACTCACCTATGGAAAATGTGATAAATTATCTGTTGAGAAATTTATTTATCTGTTTAAATATATCTGTTTCTGGCTATCGGTGGAGGATAGCCATGATTGTTGTAGAAACTGCATGATGATTAGGTAAATTGAAACTAATCAATTGGATTATGTCATTGAATATGACGGTTGGATATAAACATTGTATATGTAATTGAATTGGTCATTGTATATGACAACGTGTTTGAATACATTGTATATGTATCTTGTTTGGGAGGAGATATGGGATGTACTCCATTGTTTGGGAGGAGATAGGGGATGGACTCCATGGATAATTAAGTTGGCCGGAGTGTCCAGGGTGAGTCCCGAAAGCTTATTTATATTTGGGTGCCGGTTCCCTCGGACGTAATTCCGTAAAATGGCAAGATAATGGAAGTGTATGATTGATGCTTATATGTGAAGTGTTGATAATGTGAGTTGTCTTATTTTGAACTGTTTGGATAATACTGAGTTATGTCAATGAATTGATTTGGATACTTAAAGAAAAGTGGATCAATTATGATGTAAATGTTGATTGGTTACAGAAATGGTGTGAGTTGGTTTATAAATGGTAAACATTTATCAGATGCTAATGTTTTAGTTAATTTTCATGTAATGTTTAGCATATCTTTACTGGGTTTTGGCTCACCCTACTTGGGATACCATTTTCAAGTACAGGTAACATGTTGCCTCCAAGGACATAGCTTCGGAGGTTTTGGGGCTAAAGTCTCCATTTTGTTGTTTCACTTTATGTTTATAAGTTTTTATTTCCAAGCCGAGGGCTTTAAATTGCAAAGGGCGTTTGACCCTCTTTTGATGTAACCAAGTGTCCACTTGGAAAAGTGTAAGCCCGTAGGGCATTTATTTTGTTTATTAACATATAGCATCTTTTGTAAAGAACACTTTGATGAATGTGAATATAATGTTTCTTTATTATTTATGGATCTTATGCATGATAGTTTTAAGTCTTATTTTGAGGGCGTTGCAATTGTTATCCCATGGTACTGATGTGTAAAATGTCTATTTTACCCTCATGCTATTACTTAATAAACAATTTGAAAAAGGTAGAATAGTCTTTTGAACATTTATAAATTATTTTTTTAGTATTGTCAATTTAATATTATATATTAAATAAAAAATTAAAAATTATGGCCTTATAATAGTTTTGGTGTTGTTACAAAAATTAAATTTATATATTAAATAAAATTATTTTTTCAGTGTTGTTAATTTAAAATTATATATTAAATAAAAAATATAAATTATAAATTTAATTTAATTAAAAATAATAAATTAAAAATTATGGCTTTATAAATTAAATTTTTTTAGTGTTGTTAAAAAATTAAATTTATATATTAAATAAAATTATTTTTTTAGCGTTGTTAATTTAAAATTATATATTAAATAAAAAAATATAAATTATAAATTTAATTTAATTGAAAATAATAAATTAAAAATTATGGCCTTATAAATTAAAAAAATTTAGTGTTGTTAAATTATATATTATAAATTATAGATTACAAATTTAAAATTATATATTAAATAAAAATTATAAATTATAAGGGTAAAATAGTCTTTTGAACATTTATCCTTATTCAGGCC